TAGAAGAGGAATCCACAAAGGCAGAGATCGTGGCGTCACCTTTGTCCCATTAAAAAAAAAATAAAATGGTAGACAAACATCCAAAACTATCAGTAATTATATTAAATGTAAATGGTCTAAACACGGTAAAAGCCAGAGATCATCAAATGGATAAATACAACAAAAACAACTACATCTTTCTACAAAAGGCCTGCTGTAAATATAAAACATAGGTTAAAAGACAAGAGTGGGAAAAGATAGATCATGCAAACATTAGTCAAAACAAAGCTGGACTGTGAAAAGGTGGTAAGTGAAATTATAAAAATGGACAGTATAGTCAACAGGGGCCAACACCAGACTGCTGGAGTCTTATTATGAGACAATATTGAAACATGTTCAAGTCACTCCCATATTAAAGCAGAATTCCCTGAATCCTCTAAACGCTCTACTCCAATTTTTCACATTTAATAGCTAAATCTTTGAGAGAGATGTCTAAAGTCACTTTTTGGGGGGGCCAACTCCCATTCATTTCTCCACTTCTTGCTGAAAAAGACTTTGCTAAGGTTACCAAGGTCTTCCATGCACTAAATCCAGAGGCCATTTTCAGTCCTCATTCCACTTGATTTTCAGCAGTATATAAGACTATTTACATGTCATCTTCTTAAAATACTCTATTCTCATGGCATCATACTTTTTTGGTTTTCCTCTTCCCTCTGCCTGTTCCTTCATAGCTTACTTTCCAACTGTATCCTCTTCTACTCAAGCATTACATGCTGGAGTTTTTCAAGCTTCATTCTTAGGCCTTTTTCCCTTCTCACTTCTATAAACCATCTCTATGTAGTCTTAGTCTTATTAACAGCTTCAAGTTATATCTGTATAACAATGACTTGAAATTTGTATCTCCAGCTTGGCATCCTGCTTGAATTCCAATTCAAGCAGCCTTCTTGACATCTCCAGGTGGGTGTCTCAATGGCACCTCAAAATTAACATACCCCAAAATAAACTCACAATAGCCCCTCCTGTTTCAATGTTTCTAAGTAAATGAGATCATTTATCCATTTCCAAAAGCAAAAAACCTAGGACTTCTCTGACAAACCTCTATCTCATGTTCTTCACATTCAATTGTTTCTTCACACTACAGTCAAAGTGATCTTTTTAAAAATGCAAATCTGAGCACATCACTCCTTTTTGAAAAAGTTTTTCCATGACTCTTCCCCTGTTCTTAAAGCAAAGATAACAAAGTCTGACCTCTGCCCTTTTCTCCAGACCACTATTACCTCAGACCACTTTGCCTTTGCTCTCTTTATTCCAGTCACAGTGGTCTTTCTCAATTTCAATCCACAGAGCCTTTGTGGATGTCCACACTCCCCTCCTTCTGATCTGGAACACTACTCTCTTCCACCCCTGGTTACCTCCTACCCAGTCTTCAGATACTGGCTCAAGCATCACTAGCCCAGAAAAGGCTTTACTCATACCTCAATCTAAGGCAGGCTCATTTGTTCAAAAACTCCTATACACTTAGGTTCTTTTCTTTCTGTGGACTTATCCTGGTTAGTAATTATACATTAATTAGTGTGATTACATGAAAAATAATTAATTCCACTATTAGATTTTAAGTTCATGAGAGCAAGAATTGTCTATTTTGGTTCACATGACATCCCTAGGAGCAGAACTGAGCCTGCTACAGAGTAGATGCTGAATAAATATTAAACAAATGGATAAAGAAAAACACTAACAAACAATAATACAAAGAAAGCAGAGCTCGAGTAAGCAGAGGCCAGAGAGCCAACAAAGAAAAATCGGTAACAAGTGAAACAAAGGAGATAAGTATTTAAAGAAGAAAGTAAGTAAAGCCTCATACGTCACAAAAAATTAAGAGATGAGAAGGAACTAATGGATAAGCAGAGCAAACAGAAAATTATTGGTGACCTTTAAGAAAATAGCTTCAGTAGAATGAGCATATACAAGAAGAAAAATATAGACTACTTTGCAAGAATACGTCTATGAAAAGAGGGGAAGACTGGCTGCAGAAAGGGCAGAGAGCTCAGCCATGGGAATATACTGCTGGTGATCACAGAGCAGGAGTTACATGCTCAGGGCTACAGTAGGAAGTAGAACAAAATGACGAGGTTTGCAGTGGAAGATATTAGGCTGGTAAATAATCTTGTCCTGCAGTGCAATCCAATTACTTTCTATCCAGAGAATAGTGATAAAAAATAATAGCTAACTGTTTTTGGTCTACTCACTAAATGCAAGGAAAAGTCCAAAGTACTTTAACACTTCTCGCTAGACCTCCCAACTTCTCTATTAGGGAGTATTATCATTATCCCCATTTTACAGATGAAAAACCTGAGACCCAGGCCAGGTGATCACCAACTGACAGAATGTGAATTTGAATCTGGATTTATCTGACTTCTACAGCACATACCATTAACTGGTTAACCCAATATACATTTCTTCTGCATTCCCTTGTCCCTTGACTCATAGCTCAGGGTGGCCACATGACCCATTTCCAGCTGACGGAATGTAAGTGGAAATATATTTGGAACTTCCTTGGAAGGCTTTTTTAAAAAATATATAAACATTTAATTACATACTTAATATCTATTATCTATTAAATTTATATTAAAAATCTCTAAATACTTATATAACAAATGTATGATATAAATATTTAAATATTTTTTAAATGGAAAGCCTTCCAATGCTTTATTATATATATATATATATATATATATATATATATATATAAAACACAGATATTGTGGGCCATCCCATTCCTCTGACGTGAATGTGACTGCAGATCCTAGAGTGGGCTACTGTCTTAAGACAATCAGGGAGTAGCAGAGATACAGAGAAGTTTGCACCACTAAACTAATGACAATAGCCACCTACTTCTAGACTTCTTACTGTATGAGAAAAAAACATGTCTTTTCTTAAGTCATGAGTCAAGTTTTCTATTATTTATACTTGATTGCACTTCTAGTGGATATAATTCCAAAGCCCATGCTCTTGTCTACCAAACTCAACTGTATCTCATCTATGAAATAAAAAGATTAACCTCCCTCAGAGAGTTCTGAAGGAGTTCAAGTTAGAAAATGCATATATAAATGTCTGAAAAATAAAAATTATTGTACAAATTTTTTAGTGTTTTAAAAATACTGATTCTCAACGAATGGAAGTAACTGGAGTGCAAACACACCACAGACACATGGGACTGGGCAGCAGTATCCTGCAAGGACTCATCAGAATCCCGTGGGGAAACCTTCACATCACACATGTTCCCTTTTGAGAATCACTGCCAGCGTAAACCTCCTCTTACAAATAAGATGATGAGCATCTCCTGAGTATCTGTTCAAAAGGCTGAGAAGTGACATTTTATTATGATAGTGAGATACATTAAGCACATCTCCACTAAGACATCAATAGCTTAATAATTGGTAAAAAATTTTTGAACCCATGGGGGCACAGTTCACCCTACCGAGTTTGACTGTTCTTAAAATATAAGTAATTATTTTTATATGAATAACAGTAACAAAAACAACAGCTGATACAATCTAAACAGTATAGTGTAGTATTAATCAATGGGATCAGAGAGTTAGCAGGAAGAAATGTAAATATACTCCAGAGAAAGGCTAGAATGAATTCCAAATACTTATTAAAATCTTTATAAAGGTTTCTTTGTTTTAATTTCTCTTACTTGAGGTCAAATTTACTACTTTCTCATTAAAAAATTAACAAAGTAATTTTAAAAATTGAACTCAACTGAACTGACATCTCAGGTTCCAAATAATTGGTTTGTTCATTTATTGGATAAAGTACTAGTATTTTTCATTCAGCAACCATTTGTTGAGCCCCTATTGTTGGCTAGACTGTTCTCAGTACTTCAGTGACTTTACAGCAATGAAGAAAATACCCTAAATTGCTTGTCTTTATGGAACTTATATTCTATGAGGGTAAGCAGCAAGCAGAAAATAAGCAAATAAATAAAATATATGTAAATTGGTAAGTGCTCTAGTGACCAAAATAAAGCAAGAAAGGCATAAAGTAGATAGGCAACGTGGGGGTGAGGAGACGGGTTTGCGGGATGGGAGAGGGTTGGTGGTTGCAATTTTAAATACCATGGTGATAAAGCTTTCATTGGGAAGCTGACATTGAAGCTAAGACCCAAAGGAGCTGAAGAACCAAGCCACCACTATGCATCTATCTGCTTTCATGATGACTCTTTTTCAGTTGAATCTATCATTGGAAATTAGTCAATATCTGAACAGCAAAACGATACTGTTTTTCCTTACAAGTCACCCTGATCCATTCTAATCAAATCAAAAAAAGAAAAACAAGATATTCCAATTATCGGTAACCCCCTGAACTCACTGTTGATATATCTGGCTTTGGAGAAAAAAGTTTAAATGTGTATTTTGTTCCTTCATGTCACAAATGTATTCATTTTTGATACTCTCCAAACACATATTTCAAATGTAGAAAATTTTGTTTAGTCTTAAATGAGCCCAAATTTCATCATGGGCTAAAATTTTAAGACATAAAATGACTGCTGAAACTGAATTTTAATCATATAGATGAATCACAACATGCATCTTTAGCTAGGCATGTATTATGGATAAGTCTAGTTTTCTACAGAGAATAATCACATGTTCTAATTACCATTTTGGTTATACGCATAATTAATAATATTCTGTCTTAATGGGACACACTGAATCTTCAGACAGTTGCAAGCTTTAACTATGCATACTGCCAAATCCAACTGTCAGCTGCACTGCCAAACACAAAGGAATCTTGATGTAGTGTTTTAGCATTGATAACAATGTGCATATCTTTACACCTGATACAATAGAAAAATTAATTGCTTTTCTTCCTTCAAAATTTTCTCCACACTTAATAATTTTATCTTGCTTGATTGATCATTTACCCTAAATTATATATACTGGCGAGTGATCTTATGAACAATAAAAACATGAATGTAAACGTGACCCAAGATTCAAAGAAGAGAAAAACACTGGACTTACTGATTGTAAACTTTCATTTTCACGTAAACAAGCTGTGTGAAGTTCTGATTTCAAGGTTGCAATGTGACTTCGATGAGATGTCATTTCCTTTTCTAATGTAGCAATTCTGTTGCTTGCAAGCTGGTAGACATCCATGAAACTTTTAATCATAGCCTTAAGAAATAAAAATAATGTCACATACAATTCAAATAAAGCTGTTCCCAAGGGAGAATTTCCATAATTTGAAAGCAAAATCATTAAAATTTTAAAATAAATAACTTTTCATCTTTCTTTAAAATAATAAAGCTAAACCTCACATTTTGTATTGAGAACAGTGACTATTTTAAGAAAGTTTGGGAGAAAATAATTGAGACCTCTTCCAGTGTATTTATTTAAATAAGGTGTACTTTGATCTATTGTGCTTAAAATTTAGAATGCAGTTTTTAAAGATGGCACACTTATTTTCTTTGTAAAGTTAAATTCAAGTTGTAATTTGACCTAAATTTCAATCTTAAAACACACAATGGATAGAAATACAAGACATTTCAAAATAAACTTAGTAAAATTTTCAACCCACGTAAAAAACAAATGGTTTGAAACAAAAGGAGCTGAAAAATCCTGTGATTTTTAACAGTAAATAATGTGATTCTTATATTGTAAGAAAAGCAAAATTACTTTCATTCATGTAACAGAGGAATGCCCTTGCACTATACTAGATATAATAAAATAAATAACACAAGGAAATGCTGGTAACTTTTTCTCTCTCCTAAACAGTATAATGTTTGGGTGATTGCTGGGCCTCTGAATTACAGTTTAATCATATTTTATAGGCTTTTTCTTCTAAAGCAAGCTGTGGTGAATTTTAAGTCCAAAAATACTATTATACCTTTTCAAAAAGTCTTTCCAAATACTTCAAATATAGCAAAGTAAAATCAAACATTTCAAAGACATATTTAAATATAATGTTATATTATTTCCAAGAAAAACACGTTCCAACTACAGCCACAAATTAGTACAATGGTAGACAGTCTGAGAACTTCCAAGTTATATTGAATCTGAAGAGTCTGGTTTGAGAAAGCTTTAAGAAAATAGATATTTGGGCAATTCTGAATGCATATGAAATAAGAATCTGATGAACAAAAAAGAAACAACATACACACTGTCTGAGAAGCAGAAGTAGGTGAGTCATTTGTAGTCAAAAGCAAGAAAAGCCACACCTTTTTGCCTAACAAATTCTTATTTGCCCTCAAAAATCCAGCTCAGAAACCACCTCTTTCAAGAAGACTCTTTTGAGCCCAAAAGCAGTGTTAAGTTCTATTCTGGGTCCCTCATGCTTACTTCTGCTATTGCATTTATCACATTAGCAGACATGTATTGGTTTACACGTTTATTTTTATTACACTAAAGAGCTACGAGGGCCAGATACTGTGCCTAAGCATGTCTGTATCTTCAGGGACGGTGTGAAAGACTGACTGAACAAATGACCAACTGAACGGATGAATGAGTGAATGAATGAACAAATGAATGAAAAACCGGAAAAGATGACAAACCACAAGTTAAATAGGCATATTCAACTTGGCAAAAAATACCTTATAGGAAAGGCAGAAGATATTTGGGAAAATATAACCTTAACACTGTAATGAACAAATTATTAACCATACTTTGTTCAAGTCAAAAAAAGAAGCAAAAGCGTAGCTGTAGGCATAAAAAGACAGAGTACGCAAAAGTGAAATCTATCACCCAATACTAAGTAAGCACGATACGATCTCATGTTTGGCAACATCTCCCATGTCCTAATGCACCTGACTTTGAGTCATTTTAAGGTAAGCCTATGGCTAGTACTAACACAAAATATTCAAAAGTATATATTTACATGGTATACTCACTTTATGCAGTATATAGAAATGAAGTATATCCAAAAGTATAGAAAGTATATAAAAATCACAAACTATGAAATCATATCTGTTTCTTCCTGTGCCAAGTCTCTCTCCACTTTTACATTCATTTATCTTCTCCATTGACAAGGTGGACCAGGAGTCACAAGTCGTATTTTTTCCTGGTTCTCACTGTGCCACTTGCTTAGCTTTATGGGCAATGCCATGTCATCTCTCTGAGCCCCCATCTCCTCCTTCCACAACATGGGGAAAAGGGTCGTTTTCTCGCTTACTGCCAAAACTATTGTAAGGATCAAAAAGTTAAAAATCTAATACAAAGCTATTCTCTTAATCCTTCAACCACACTGCATCTAATATTTAAAAAGCCCTCTAAAAATGGTAAACTAGTGAATTTCACTGCAGTATTACCACTGTTCTATTTTCAAATTGTCCACTAATATCTTAATGAGAGAATCTGTGATTGGTGGTTCACATACACGTGTTCTTGTTACATAAGGACCTAAAGTGTGTAAAAGGCATGAAAACTTGCATAAATGCTTATTTAATAAAAAGAAAAAAGAAAATACCCTTCTATCTATAGCAGGGTCTTGAGTAATTATTTCAATGTAAGTCATAATAGAATTGGCCTCTAACATTTAAGGATAAAAAAGTTCAACATTTTAAAAGTTATCCTGTTTCCTAAATTTGGAGAAACACATTTCATGGATTCTCACATACATAATATCCTACAAGGAGTAAACAATATAAATGATATCCCTTCAAACCTCTCTTTAAAAAAATAAAATACTTTTTGAGAAGTAATAATTGCATTTTTATATGATGGATGGAACAAAGGCCACAATTATTTTGGCTCCTTCCTTGACCTACTTTTAATAACTAAATTCTAATATCCAATGCAGTATTAAGAGAAATCACATATTACCCTTTATAACACTAAAAAGAGTAGAATAATCATCTACTTTTTGCTTAGGATTTAGAATCTGAAATGCTTAAAATCATTAAAGCAGTACTTCATTTGAGAGACAAAAGAAATTTTGTATAATACTTACTATATAGGATATTTTTTTTCAGAGCAGCAAAGGTACATCAATCAATACAAAAAGCATGTTTCATGGTAAAGCGTATGTAAAATATACTACACGCTTCTCAAATGAAAACCTTCAGAACTGAAAGGTAGTGTCAGTGAAATGGCAAAGCTATTCAAAGAAGCCATAGCTCTTTTGAAGAATAAAGAATGTTAACTTCCAGTATTAAAAAGTGATTCAAACTATGTAATAAAAGATGCCAGTGAAATATCCAACTCTTTAATAAAATAGAGGCACCAACTTGGTAGAAGAAGTGAAAATGACAGTTGGAATCAAGTGAGGGCATGGGCGGAGGAGGGAGTGGCATCTAATGGCCTCTCTATCAATCTCCTGAAGTCCAGCCCTTGACAACATACCTCACTCCTATATTAAAACATCATATTTTTTCACATTAGGAAACAATGACAGAGCGGCATGATATTGTGTACAGCAAGCCCAGTATTTGTTATTTTTTTAATTTTTTAAAATAGCTTTATGCTTTTAAAAAAATTTTAAATAGCTTTATACTTTATTATTATATTAATTATTAATTATTATTTAATTATTTTATTTTGGTAGGGGGAGGTAACTACGTTTATTTTTAGAGGAGGTACTAGGGATTGAACCCAGGACCTCATGCATGCTAAGCAAGCACTCTACCACTTGAGCTATACCCTCTCCCAAGCCCAGTATTTGTGAATTTATCCTATGTCATCTTTGGCCCTTGGGATTTTGAGTATACCATGCAGTGAGACATTCATCTCAGAAGGGCTTACCCAGTTATATGACAAACAGAACAAAAGACAGTTTCTGGACAAAAACTGCCTTTTGTTTTAGAGATAATCTATAGTGTTTATAATCAACATAACAAGATGGAATTTATATAAATTCCACAACCTATCTATTTTAAGGAAAAGCATAAATGTTTTAGAATACAAAAAATTCTGAGATACAAATAGGTGACTGTCACTTGAGGACTAGAATATTATTTATATAATTTTTTATGTACATATTATGCAGTTTTACTGACTTCAAAATTGGACTTCAGGGAAAGTGGGTGCCTTGGGAAGCTGATGTCAGGAGAAGGAGAAATTAGTGTAAAATGTCATAAGACCTAGATGTAAACAAAATAGTAAATTTTTTATTTATATTTTTCAGTAAGTAACTGGGAAGCAAAAACCTCTGACATTTTACTTTAAATTATACAGTTATGGATATACTTCATTTATATACACTATATAAAGTGAGTATACCATATAAAATAGATATACCAGACATATCAAACATGTGAAATATAATAAATCCTCATAAAATGGGGGTAATGATTCCTACCTTACTAAGATTTTGTGGGGATAAAATGAGTATTAATACATGAAAAGACCCTAACTATATGACACATAGTAACACTCAAGTAAATGTTAGTTATAATGATGACAATAACATCAAATTAGGAAAATTACTATTTAAACTCACAAAATATTCAATATTTCTGATGGGTGTTATTGGACATATTATAAGAATTTTAAATATAAGATATTCTATACCTATTGAATATATTAAAATTCTTTCAAACATAAAGAATTTTGGAAACTAATGAGTATTTACTTCCTAACAACAAACATCCCATTGATAATAAAAGTTACAATTTAAGATGTCTTTCTTAAGGAAGAAAGTCTTACCATAATATTCTCATAGTTTTCAGTATCAAATTTTATTCCTTGGCACCTCAAATTAAACATAAATTATTTTCTTCAGTATCAAAAATTTACTCTGGTAAGGTTGCTCATTTAGTAGACTTGCTTCCAATCCAATATTTTATAATGGAGGAATATGGCAGAGAATGAGGGTTAAAAGATCTGTTACTAGTAGTCTTCAAACAGCAACTATGTCTACCAACCAAGAGCCAGTCTAAGATCTGGAATTGGACTCTTCAGTTTGAATGCCTGGCTTCTGGCCCTCCCTAAATGCATCATTCACCATGACATTCCAGTACAAAGTTATACAGGAAAGACTGGACAGGGACAGAGTGGCAGCCTGACAGCTACCTCCTTGCTTTACTACAGGGAATTGCATGCATGGATATATGTGTGTGTGTGTGTGTGTGTGTGTCTGTGTGTGTCTGTGTGAGAGAGAGGGAGAGAGGGCAGACTGATAACAATGTTATCAGCTGGCAAGAATACTGAGGAATTATTAAGGAATAGAAAGGGATAAATTA